GGGAGTGGAGCAAAAGGCAGGGCATTGAAGTCGCTGTGGGTGGTTCTGGTTTATCCTTCTGGAAGTGAGCCCATTCCCCCCATTCCTCCCCAAGTAAGCAGAGAAACACTAAATTAGAACCACTAAGGAGAGAAGAGAATTAGTCCATTGGAACAAATTTTGTGATTTCAGAGACTGAATTTTATAAAATTACAGTGGTCAACGAGCATTTAGTAATTAAGAGTTATGACCATATTAGGCATCACTTGCAAACACTCTTACCTAAAGGGCTTAGCATGGCCTTCGTACCCCTCTGTGGAACTCTACACCACCCACAAGTAAGAATAAGCTAATTTATAGTTGATTAGTCTCTCTTTTTGAGGTCTAGAAACAAGAGTGAAAGCACTCTTTTTATAGGTAATTTTCTCTCCTCAAATCTTCTCAAATACCTGCAGGTGTGACTGATGGGAATGGCAAGAAACAGTTAGATGTGGAGGGTGGACTTTGCTGAATAAAGTAAATGAAGTTCTTCACTTGAATGAAGGAGAGAAATGAAGACATGTTGAGATTTGCATTCAAAGCAAAAGATGGAGGATAACCTTAAAATAAAATACTGAAACTAACACTTTAGGGGCACCTGTTACCAACAACCTCAAGGGGGTATAATCCGAATAATCCAGAACAGTGGAAATTCTACAGGACAAGTGACCCAGTTTCTTTCACAAATGATTCGCAAGAAACTAAAAAAATGGAGGAGGAGAAAAGCTGAGTTAAAGAAACTTAGGAAAAATGTTACCCAAATACAATGTGTAAACTCTAATTTGACCCAGATTGGAATAAACTGTGTGCGTGTGTATATATGTATACATGACGAGATAATCAGGAGGGAGGGACACTTCATGCCCTGTACACTTGACAATACTAAGATAAAATATTTAAGATGTGTTATTGATATACAGTTTACAGGTGGAAATACTGAAGGATGAAATATCTGGTATTTGATGTGATATGATCTAGTGGGAGAGAGTGACATAGAGATAGAAGAGAAAAAAGATCTGCTTGCTTTGATTATTAAAGTGGGTGATGGGTACATTGGGCTCGTATTATTGTCATTACTTTTGTGAACATTTTAAATGGTTCATAATAAAAGTTGTTGAAATAAAAAATAAACATTAAGCACAAATATAGTACTATGATTTGGACAAAAATAGGGGATAAAAAATTTCAGAGTATTTTCAAAGTATAATTACTTACATATACACAAATACAGACTTCATTTGAAATGGCAATTAGGCATCTAATCACATCAAATATACATTTCTGCACTTAAATCGCTATAGCCAAGAAATGTTCTATTTTGGTTCTCATTATGGTACATAAAACACTACCTTTCACTTTAAAGAGTATCAGTAATTCACAATATTTCCTACTCTTTCAATGCATTATGGGCAGAGTTCACAAAAATAACCCAGAAAATATCTTTTTCCTGTAAATCATTAGAGCTGCGATGCTCACCGCTAGAACCCACACGACATGCAAATATGATGGCACATGCAAGAGCAACTTAGCATCCAGTTAAGAAATAAACACAGGTACCGCTAATTTCTAAAATACTTTTAAAGCTTCATATATCAACCTTCCTTCCAAAAATATAAAAAACAGAGATTTCTCTACCATTTCCACTGTGAATTAAACCTTTTTATGTTATTGAAGATGATGGAAAAGGTGAGGAAAATGTTCTTAGGAGTCAGAATGATCTCATCAGCATTACCCGGGCATTCCAAATGTAATCAAAGAGGTAAACGGGAATAAAAAATATTCTCTGACAGATGAGCCTGCCATGTCATGGGAATTTGCAGCCTGTCTGCACAGAATGAATTTCCTTTTGAGGCAAAATGTTCCCTCTGATGCTAAAGGCACTGAAATACCTTTTTAAAACCACAGAACCATTGTAAGAACGGGAAGAGGTGCTGTGTGACACATCGCAAATATGAGCCAGTGATACTGACAAACAATTCAGAACCTATGGAAGTAGGCTGAGCTTCAGTGAAAGCTTTGGGATGGTCAAGAAAATGGAAGGGAAAAAAACCACTGCCTGGAAACACCTGCAATGAACTACTGACAGGAAGCTACGGAAGACAGGTCTCTCGGAGTCATGTCCAGGAGGTCCTACTAAGTACCTTGTAGTAATTCATTCCACTTTTATTAAATCATTGAAATTCATAACTGGCACTTTACTTATATTCCAAAGGGTAGATAACTGAACCGGATGGCCTCAAAGGCAATGGCACCCAGATTTTTGTAACTTCCTGAATGGTACAATTTTTTTTTTAACTTTGGGGGTTCCAACTTTGCTAAGTAAGAATAGTATAAAAACTAACAGAAAAGCTCTCTTACCACTACCATATAAAAATGACATCTCAGTAATAAAAAAGTGGGCATATTCAGCTTCAGGACAAACTCACCATATCATCTTCCTCTTCTCATTTCACTACTGATGAGCACAAGTGCTATCACAGACTGCTTGTCCTAGGAGCACCAGTCTGTAGGTGAGCTCTGGCTACCATTACTCTCTCTGGTCTCTTTCAACATGGAATAGAAATCATAGAGGCTAAGATCTTTGGACTCTGTAAATGTTAGAGAAGCTGATCTTTTAGGTTATTTAAAGGGGAAAGGACATTTGTCATTTTGAGAGGCAAATTTTTCAGCTAATCCATTTCTCTGAATGATTATTATCATCTAATTTCTTCACCAGCTGTTTTCCTTTCCAAATAACTTTTCAAAATAGGTATTTTACACATATAGTTTATTGTAGATCATATTTGGCTAATACAATATCTGACACAAATAAAACCCCTTTTTATTACATGAAAATAGTTTATTACAAAGTCATATGTGTATGATTCTGTAACATAACAATATCACATTCAAGTACATTATATGACATTTTAGGTGAAATGTTCAAGTTGCTGTCCATCTTGTGAGAGACCTTCACGTACCCTACCAACCACACTCAATGGCATTATTTCTGCCAGACCCTGTTTTTATAAGGCTAGTTTAAAAGTACAGATTTTTTAAAGTAGTAGCTAGCTGATTTTATAATATGCTTGAAATGATAGATCCAAACACTCAGAAAACACAAAAATTGATGATCTTGGAGTAGTTCATTTTGAATAACAATAATTTAAACCACTTAGTTGAGTGTGGCCTCAAGTTCTCCAAATAATCACATGGAAATTGGCCTATAGATTATCATAATTCTACCAATAGAATTTGGAGCTATTACAATATTTTAAAGATGCTCTATGTAGAAAGGTAGCTGTTTTCTATCATTATCATCATAATGTCTTAAGAACCTCAACATGCAAGCTAGCCTACCTACTCTGTCTGCACTCACTCTTATGTTAGGAAATCAGCACAAGAGAGATGCATGATCCTAGAGGAAGAAACCAGTATCGCAAGAGCTCTCAGTCACTGACCACGAGACCTCAGAGGAGTCATCTCATCTTTCTGTGTCTTAGTTGCCATAGGTTATTGATAACCTCTAAGCTGCCTTTTCAGGTATGACCTTTAGATTCCCCAAATTCTCAAGTGTAGTGCCTAAACAAACAAAACAACAAGCACCTTAGGTAATTATCTTTTTTCTATGATTACTACATATATGTGTAATTGTAATCCTGTGTGTAAGTGAGCATGTATGGGAAGACATATCACCCAGTGTGATTCCATCCACTTAAACCACCAATATTGATCATAAACAACGTGTACCTGTTTCCAAAACAAACCTTAACCCTCCAGAAAGATTTGCCACCATCAAGTACCTCCAAGAGAATGTGCTATAGTTTGAGAAGGCTGTAACAAAAAGTGCCTTGATCAATAACAGCAGAGTTGAGCTAAGATCACAAGCATAAAGAGAGCAACACACTTGTTGCTCAACTTTGAGATCCACTCTGAGTTCCCCTCAACTGAACTTCACTTTCAGTCATGGCTTCTTCATTCCCTAACCCATAAATAATTTAAAAAAGAACGAAGCAGGGGATAGACTAAGAAAAGGGCAATAAAACAGAGGGAAACAGAATTATTGCCATGAATATCTTGGGAGAGAGTCAGGAAACAGAAAAAGTATACCAAGGCTTTGGAATTGCACTTCCTCATGTGTCAGGTTGAGGAAGTTGAGTCTATCAGGGACTAAAGGCACTCACTTTGGAACTAAGGTGATGTAACATATATTGAAACGGGCGGAGGGGTGAATACTTATTTACACCAGTTAAATAAAACGAGGCACAAATAGCTTACATGTCCAGTTTTATCTGTCTCTGGGACCACGGTAGGGACTCTGCATCACAAAATGTTGGAGGATTGACAATCACAGTCAAGAAAAAGGTAAAAACTTTTCATAGGAGCACCCTCTTCAACAAAAGCATAGAATTGAAATCAAGGATGATGGTGAACCTTCAGAGTCTATAGCTTTAATTCGTCAGAATTTAATTTTTAGAATCTCATTATAACAATATGCATTTAGAGTGCTAAAATTAATATTTTATTTTAGTGAATGTATAAAAAAAATTTAGATGAGCTTTCATAGGCTTGCTTGCACTCACAGAATTCCCCAAACATATTTCCTCCAATATGATGTAAATCTTCCAGCTGTGAATCCATGGAGTTTGCAGACAAAGGTTTCTAAATTTGAGAATCTGGCCATTTCCCTTCTTGTTGCACTACAAAAGATAGTCAGAAATAAAAATGTGGAACCAGCACCGTGGTCGTCCCCTTACAGGCTCAGGCGGTAAATATTTCAGCAGAAAAGTATCGTGTTCATGAGAAATAAGAAGGTGCCTGCTAAGCATAAAGTCTTTGAAGAGTTCAAAATAAAGTTAACTTCAGACAAATGATTCTATAAGTGAATCTATACATTTTTCCTTAGTTCATCCAAACTGTACCTCTAGAATTCCATTTAGAGGTCTCTTGGAGCTTGCCAAGTAGACACCATGAACAAAGTTCCCCTTCCTAGTTAAAAAAAAATGGACAAGAAGTTGTCATTGAAATTAAATGGTGGCAGACATGTCCAAGGAATGATGCAGGGATCTGATCCCTCTATGCATCGTGTGAAGGCAGCGACCAGTGGTCGAGAGCACAATGTTGGAATGGTGGTACTGCTCGGAAGCAGTACCGTGTTGGAAGCGCTGGAATGAGTGTCCGGAGTGTCTGTGTTCACCAGAGAAATCAACAGCTTCCGCACGTCCCCTCACCACAGCACCCCCTTTGCTACAATATGAAAACAGGCTCGTGTACATTTTAATGGTGAACTTTTTTGTTAAATAAACTTTTATAATAGTAAAAAACACAAAAACAAATTTTACTTCTTGTCCAAGGCCTAAATCAAGTCCCGCCTCCTTAACAAAACCCCTAGTCTAGAGAACGTTAACTCAGCCCCCCTCTAAAATTTAATGGCAGTCACTAAAAAATTATTTACTGAATATTTACTAGACGTCAAATAATTAACCCAGCCTCTCTTTCAAAAAGGAGAAAGAAATAAGCAATCTGACAACCATACGAAGTCTTAGAATTCAATTTGACTATTTTATAGGTAGTGTTGGTGTTATCTTCTTGATTGGATTATAGTTCCTGAAGAACTAAGACAACATCTTGTCTCTTTCTCTTGTGTAATTCTTAATGCCTAACTCAATATATTCAATAAAATAAATGCAGCTAGTATCTCAAAAAGTTATTCCGCAATAAAATGACTTTGAATTTTAAAAAAAATGCAAAAAGAAACTGTGGGAAGAAAAACTTTTTAAATAATTAAGGAGGGTAATTTGACTATGTGGATGTGTAACTTTATATATAACCCCAATTCTAGGCATTTATCAAGTGAGACCACATTGCTCCAGATGACTTGGTAGAGCAGCCAGATGACAAGCTGCGTGAGCCATCTCAGTGCGGCGGACAGAGAAAATGCCCAGCTGGGCTCAGCCTGTACTGCTGACCTACAAATCCACAAGTTTCTTGTTAAGCCACTAAGTTTTGGGATATTTGGTTATGTGGCAATATAAAGCTGATTCAATTATATTCATAAATATTTTTTGGTAATAGATTGGAAAACAATTCAAAAGTAAAATAATTTTTAAAAACACAGGTTGGCCACATAAGAAAAAAACTGAACTCCGGTTAATGATGCTTGGGAACTTGAAAGAAGAAGAGTATACTGATGCCTACAACTTAGTTTGTAATACATAAAAATACAAGATGGATTGACAGAGAGAGGGCTAGTTCCCTTGATATGTGATAAAGTAAGTACAATAAAATACTAGTTATAGGATCTCAGTGGTGTTAACCTGAACATTTTTATAGTTTGTTTTCTTTTCTTTCTTTTCTTTAATTTCTGTCTAGCCTAGTCACTTAAGGGCCCAGGAGAATTTCAGTCTGGATCCCCTTTAAGGGTGTTGAACAAGTTGGTTAATTTCCAACCAACCAGTGGCGATCCCTAAACTGGGGCGGATCCAGCTGATGGTGCCTAAGAGCTGCCGTAGACTGTTAAGTGTCAAAGGGTCTGGTACCTGGATCTGAACTAGTTGAGGCCCAACTGTATGGTAAAATAAGACATGTCCTAAATGCTGCCAAGGCTGATAATGCAGTGCCTTTTCTGGGGCTATGACTAGTCCCGCTGAGGAGACATTGCTTTCAAGCCAGAGGTCAACTTGCTTTTTAGCACTTCCTGAGAGGCTGAAGCAATTAGGATATGGTCCACGTAATGATAAATGATACTTTGAGGAAACTGAGTTCGTTCCAGCTGAAGGGCCTGATGAACAAAATGTTGGCAGATGGTGGGGCTATTTAACCTGCCCTGTGGCAGGACTCTTCACTGGAACCTCTCTAATGGTTGAGAGTTATTAAGTACTGGGACTGAGAAGGCAAACCTCTCGTGGTCCTTTTCCACTAGGGGAGCTGTGAAGGAGCAATCCTTTAAGTCACTAACAATAGGAGGCCATTCTTTTGGTCCACATGCTGGATTTGGAACCCCTGGCTGAAGGGCTCCCATGGGTTGTAAGATTTCATTAATTTTTCTAAGGTCATGTGTAAATCTCCATTTCCCTGTTTTCTTGGGAACTATGAAAATAGGAGTATTCTATGGGCTACTGGATGGTTCTATGTGCCCTGCCTCTAATTGTTGTCGTACAAGCTCTTGAAGTTTTTCTAGCCTCTCCTTTCTCAGCAGCCACTGGTTAACCCACACAGGTGTATCAGACAGCCTAGTGAGGGACAAAGGAGAAGCCTGGACAGTGGCCACTAAGAAAAGGCGGCAGGGTGATTTGTATGCCCCACTGAGTGCGGAAGTCCCTGCCCCAGATATTAAGTGGGGCAGGAAGGACGTCAGGTCAAATTTGTCCAACTTGCCTATCCAGATCAAAACATCAAAAGAGTCCACACACTTTTGTGGGGCTGAGAAATGCCCCCTATCCCAGGTATAGAAATGTAAATAAAATAGAAATCCCTTTCTTGAAATTAAGCGTGCCAGCAGCCTCCCAAAGCACGGGGGCTGCCGTCTCCTACCTCAGAGATGACCCGGGTGGAACTCCCCCTCGTGCTATCTCTACAGTTGTTTTCTTAATAAAAATGTTGGGAAAACAGGTTGGGTCATATGGTGCATTTACACTGTGGAATATTATATAGCCATTAAAAATAATAGGGTAGAAGATGATCAAAATTGACTGATAAATCTTTTAAAAAACCAAGTACAAAATAGTATATATTTTTTAAAACACAAATTAAAAAGTATAGCTATAGAGGGAAAAAAGAACCTAAAGACAGCTACTAGATGATGACTTCTGGACATGGGACGATGATTTTTTCTTCCTGCATCAACCACCGTTCCTTATTTCTAAACATGTTTTGTTTTTTGTATCACTGACTAAGTCACCTTTCACTGTGGCCCCACAGAAGACACCCCAGGTTCACTGTCTGTGAGCGACGGGGACACACCGCTGGCTTTATGCCTCTGTGTGTGCCACCTCCTGCACCATAGCCACTCTTAGAGGACATGGGGCAAGGACTGTTTTATACCCTTTTAACACAGTGTGTTTTCCAAACTGTCCTACTTAATTAAGAAAAGTTTTTAAAGTGATTAAGAGAATAGGGAAAATGTGTAGGAGGTTAAACATTCTGAAAAGAACTTGTTTGCAAAAACAATGGTGTTGCATGTTTTAGAATAAGATAAAATAAAATGAGGAGAATGGAATTCAGAGAATAGTAAGAGTTGGTTCAGCTATCTGAAGGATTTGGTTCTAAAAGTAACCAAATGTCCTAGCATGTAGCCAGGACGGAGACCTAAGCTTTCCTCTTTTTGGAAACAGTGTCTCCAAGAAAGGAGACTATGTTAGTGACCTCTTAAGATCTCTTCCAGTTTTATAAACTTTTTTTGAAGTAATACATCGCTGATATTTATATTCAGTCAGAGTGTCGGGATAAAGCCAGATGTTAGTAAGTAATTTGGAGACACTATTCCTTCCCTAAATTTAGACTAACAGAAACCTGGTAATGGGGAGAAGAAAAGAATACCAAAAGCGGAGGCTGAGGAACTCTGACCCACTGTCATCTAATTGTTAGCCAAACCATGCACACATTCCCGAGTCTATTTAACACTGGGGTAATTTAAATCCCCATCTGACAGAAAATAAAAAGAGAAGATATCCCAGAAGTCACTCTAAAGAAATTTAAAAAATTAATTTTTATACCAAACAGCTATGCGATAACAAAGTAGTATCATCCTACAGCCTATGAAGAGTTTGCTTGTGTGTGTGTGCATGTGTGCACACATTTGTGTTTTAACTGGAAGAAAAGCTTGCCCATGTTAATGGACCTAAATATGAGAGTGCAAAGCACGGAGGGAGAACAGGTTTCTGTTAGAAGGTGGTGGTGGCGTGCAGCAGAACAGCGAAGCCGGGGACAGAGTATTGTGAACAATGTCAAACTCAGGCTGAAAAAAGGATCAATAACTATTTTCATTTCAATTCAGTGATAAACATAAGTGTCAGAGTGTGGAAATAAGTAAAAGGCTTTCTAACAAAAGTCTTCAACCAACATAGGGATTTTTGTGTGTGGGAAGTAAAACCTAGGTTGAAATAAGAACCTGAAACATTTTCCATTACTTATATTTATAAATCGCAAAATAAGGCATTTAAAAATCATTAGTTATTTGTATCATTAGTTCATTGAGTACCAAATTGTTTTGAAGGAAAATTCATAAAATTCTCTCGCTGGGATAAATTTCTCCTTAGCTTCTTAATGCAAACAAAAGGGAAACACAGAAGTTGTTTTTATAGACCTTGCTAAAGTTTCAACTCCACCATTAACATACACTTTTTCTAGGAACACTGTCAGCCCAACACAAGCTCAGTTATTACACTGGACACTTTTAACTTCATATTGAAAAATAAGACCAAAGATGTATGTGGAATCTAAGCCTCAGACTCCCATTTCTGAGATTTTTAATGAGTGTTTTTGAGATTCTTTAAAAAAGAAACTATGGTTTCTTTTATTTTAAAAAATTTGCATAGATTGATCTTTAAATTTTAAGAAATGATTCTGACAAATTACTTTTCATTTCCACAGAAGATAATGGCCCTATTAAACGAAATAATAATAGGGCATGGACTAAATGGGCTCTAAAAGAATATGATATTGATGTATCCACATTTTCCAGCTCATTCATTGCAAGGATTAGCTGCAACCAGGGTAGTGGCTATAAACTGTTCAGAGAGATTGGTCCCTAAGAACTGCCAGATGGTCAGAAGAAAATACCTTACAATGTGTTTGTTAATTGAGCCCTTCAGACAAGGGCAGATATGATCTAGCTTGGAAAGCTGGCAGGTATTATGAAGTGTTACTTTCTCTTTGTAAATAAACGATGAGTTTTTGTCACCCGTTTGAGAAATGGAGAACAACAGAAATTTCTAACACAGTCCCAAAGCTTCTCATCCCTAGGCAATCCTCACAAGTTTTAAGTGCTTTTCCATTCCATCTTACTATTCAAGGGAATTGTTTAGTAAACAATATTCAAGAACCCACATGTGTCAGGATCCACAGAAAATCTCTCTATGTTGCTAACAGATTTATGACTGGTCAAAATTTAAAAGACATGCTAAATGGGTGAGCCCTACCCAGACAAAATGCATATATATTTCCTAGGTAATTA